GCAAGCAAGAGATTTACAACTAATGAGATACATTATTTCTTAAAGCGAAGGTAACAAAAAGGAGGAAGTTAGGGCAATAATGAATTTTTAAAAGACAAACATGTTGAATCAGACGGCCTTTATCTCTCTCAGAAATCTTACTGCCTTTCTTTTCTTGGCACTTTCTTCAAATACCCTTCCAACACCCTGAGGCACAACATGGGACAAAGACGTCCAATGCAAAAACCACATAAACCAGTACAAGTCCTGTAACACAAGTTTTTCTAGCATATGTCATGAAATCGGTCTGCTGCTCTGTAGAGAGCAGTAACAGAGACCATCTGAGCATCACAGATTACAGTTCAAATTGGTCACGTAGATCTGCGTGGCAGGAAGAAGAGATGACCTGTACTCGTTTTGAAATCCCTAAGTAGATACGCAATCTTCCAAACCTTTCTGGAAGTTTACTGATCTCCTGGAAGGTGTTCTCTGGGAACATGAGGATTTTTATTTATGCTCTGTAGAGCTCCTGTGAACTGTGAGATGTGTATACTGTGCTCCAGCTTTACAGTTATATGTGGAAATAATTCAACAGGAATTACCCTTTTTTAACTTAGCCTTTTGATACGTGGACAATAACACTGCGCTGTTAAATGAGTGATTTTGACCCTGAATCTTCTGTGAAGGAGGATGTGTGTGTGGTACTCTGCATATATAAGCACTTGATCGCCAGATCACAACACAAAGTTTATGAAGCACTACATATTTGTACTGTAGTTGATTAGTATTTTTTATTTCACATTAAGTTTAGAATACAGTTTTTTTTAAAAGGCTTTTATTTATGATTTTCATCCTAGTTTGTGCAGCTGTGTATAGAGCTAGGTTTAAGGCTAGTTGGAAGCTAAAAAGTGTGTTGTAAATGCGTTTGCACGAATGCCATGGTCTCATTCTATTTGTTCTCTTTAAACATATTTATATGGTAACATATCAGCACCTCAGTTCATCCAGAATTAGCCAGGAGGGGCAGGGAGAGAGAGAATCCAGGCAAGCAGTGGTATATGTCAATTCTAGCACTCTCTTAACTGTGATACCCCTGCAAACTTTGTTTGCAGTCATTTCACTTTTATTACATTTAACGACTTAGTTTTCCAAACCAAATACAGTGAATTCAAGGTTTTGGCAAACTGTAACTACCAAGGTCACTTTTGGGAAGATGTTACTCAGTTCTCATTAAAGACAGAACTGAGGGGGGAAATGGAAAATCAGGCATTAAAGCCCTAGATATTTTCTGCATATTCTCAGAATTGTATATTGCTGATTCTAGGGAAGGAATGAAAGTATTATTTCTATTAATCACTAGCTGTCACAGAATTATTTCTCATTAAGAAAACTCATATGAATTTGTGTAACCTGAAGTAAATGCAGAGAGATTATTACTTTATATACTACCTGTTAAAATAAATATACATAATTAAAAAACCAAAATAATGATGTTTGTTATTACTGTGGACTGTGAATAGAAGGAAGATGGGACAGGCAGTATCAGGTGTGGGTAAAAACCTGATATTTATGCCTCCACTGAAGCGCTTCACTGTATGGAGTGAAGGAACACGGTGGCACTCTGAAGGGGATAAATAGCAATGAAGAACTTCAAGCCCCAAGAAAGAAAAGGGACCATGTTGAGAGGTCAAGTATGGTCGATGCTACCCTCAAACGCATTCAGTAATGAACAATGAGGCAGTAATGAGGACAAGGCAAGTATCTGCTCAGCCTTTTTATGCATCATTAGCCCAGCCAGTGGGTATGATGGCTGAACCAAAAAACTCAAGGAAAACAACTAATTTTGGATCAACCCACATTTTTGTCATTTTCTCCCCAGCAAAGCAATAAACTGAGAAGGGGGTTGACCAGAAAGAAAATGTTTTGTCTTCAGTTTATTTAGTCCCACTTTATTTTAGTTTTGTTAGTTAATTTGGAAGTGAAACGTTGATCGTTGTGTTCTGAAAATGCTGTAATGAAATGCTTAGTCTTTCCCAAATATATTTGCTTTCTGCACGTTTTTTCTGAAACCATTTATTAAATTTGACCCAATTTCATAAATACTTTTATTCTTCCTTCATGATGTGTTGAACTGGTTAATCACATTCTCCATTGGCAGTATTTTGTTTACCAGGAACAAAGACCACTCATGTTTTCTCCTTTTATCCTCTTAATTGAAATGCATAATGCCTCATCACCAAAATACTTGAGTGTTTTCCGTATTAGAAATTGCTCTCCACGAAACCTCTTCCCTTCACTTTTCCTCCTTGTAGTAGAGCAGCAATGTGAAAATGAGAAATCGATATAGTTAAATTTAAAGGTACGTGCATGAGTGAAAAAGGTGAGGTTGAAGAGAAGTTTTTGTATGCGATTCTGAAAATGGCAAGGCATTTGTCTGTCCTTCCTGAGGTTCTTCCTTCAGTGAGCAAGGGGGGGAATGCAACTGGTGTAATCCCTCGAAAGAAAGAAGTTACTCCAAGGTAGCATCAACTTGACACGGAGTTTGCATTCCAAACTCCTGAATTATAAAGGGAGGGGAATGCGTGCGTTGGTTAGCTAGTACAGACAGAATAGCTCTAAACCAAATTCTCTGCAGTAATGATAGCTGTGGTCTACTGAGTTTAGCAGCAATTCAATTTTTTCCACAGGACATATATATAGAGATATATATATATGTATGTACATTTTGCTCCTTGGTATAGTGAGCTGCAGTAATTAAAGTAACAAATCCGCAGACAACCACAGGCCACTACCGAGTTCCATGGTTCGCTGTATGGTCTTTCTGGCTAGTCCCAGATAGGAGGATGAGAAGTATTTTAAATCCAGGGATAATTTGGACAGCTGCTCTCTATAAAGTCAACAAGATCATAATAAGTCTATTACTTTGACAATTGAAAGCCGCACATCCCAAATGAGGACAAAAGAAATGCCAGTTCATTTTTTGTGTGAAGATTTTTCCTCTTTTCCGACAAATGATCTCAAACTTGCCTAGCCTGAGCTTCAGTTAATTGTTTTGCCACACTGAGCAATCCTGAAGGGGACTGTGCTAAATTCAGAGCAAAGAGGATGCCTTGCTTTGTTTCTGCGGTGGTTCTGTGCAGATATTTGATAAGACAGAGCGCTGGAACGAGCTGTTGGGGATGCTGCAGTTGAGTGCCCTGGAGATGGAGGAAAGCTGTCCACTACCACTCAGACACAGATATCTTAGCACAGTTCCCATGTAAATGAATTGAGATAGAAGTATAATGTTTAGTTGCTAATTACATTCAGACTCCTTTGGGGAACCCACCAAGATTTTTATGAATGTACAGTTCCAGCCAGTGAACAGACAGAATTAATCCATTGGTTTGCTCTAACAGGGGACCTAAAAAGAACAATTACTTACACTGCTGTGATTGCCCTTCTTCAAGGTTAAATTCTCCATACAGATTCCACAGTTGTTCTTCACATGAGATGATTTTTTCTGAAGAGCAATGAAAACTATTACATTAGCTAGCCACTTATTTATTTTTCTGAACTAACAACAGTGCTTTTCGTTAATGATAATGATTTTTTTTTTTTTTTCATTAGTGGCATCTTTATCCCTCATAAGCCACATTTAAAAAAAAAAAAATCAGAAAATATAACTCGGTAGAGACTTCAAAAGGTTTTCTCATAGCTTGATTTTCCAGCAGTGACTTTTCATGGCAGATGTTTGTCTAACAAAAAGTGTTTGTTCTAAAACCCCTCCATACCTTCCCAATGTTACCTATTCTAATGCTTCATTCTTACTACCATTACATTTCTCCTAATGACTTGATCTAAATTTCACTTCATGCAGTTTAAACCCACGACGTGCTGTCCACTGATTGTGCTTGGGTTTTCATATGCACTCTCCCTCTAGTTGAGATCTTGCCAGTGCTGAGATAGCACAAAGATTTCTTCAGTTGTACAGCCCATTTTCCACAACAGCATGCTACTGTTAATTCGCATTCAGCTTGCAGTCCCAACATAGTCCCTTATCCCTTGGTGCAGAAATGTTTCTTAAACTGACATTCTCTAGCATAGGTTCATGAAATTCATTACTTCGATGTAAGAATCCTGCCTTTATGCCTTTCATTTGCTTTTTTTTTCCTAATTGGTGCATTCACAAATTTTGTGTATTTACTCAAATACTGCATTCATAAAAAATACAAATGGATGTACACTACTGCAAATATATCTTCAGTGTAAAACAGTGTAATTTGTTATAGTCAGTTCTCTGTTCAAGATAGTTTCGGGACATGAAGTATGGGGATGTTTGTAGGGACATAATGCATGTGTGGATTCAGGAGAATGATCAGTAACTGACCATACAGCAAAATATACTTTATTTAGCTCTTTCAAGCAAGAGGTAGCTGAGGAACAACAGTCTCATTTTACATCCAGATTTTCAAAGAAAACACACTTTCATTAATGATATTCAGGCTCTGTCTTGTTTCTTCACATTGTGGCTATCGCAGGTTCCCCGATCAGGTTTGATCAGGTGTTTATGTCTCAATGTTTTCAGAAGGGGAAATGGCCTTGCTGTCAAAATACCATTGGGGCTACTGCATTCCTCTCCTGTATTGCCAGGGCTGTTGTTGGAATTCTTTGTTGAACAGAAACATGTAACACTGATTCCTAACCATTATGTCAAGCGGTTTATACACACGCCGAGCAGCTTCTCGTCAGCAGTCAGCATGGTCTCTGTAGGATCCAATGGGAATACAGTGTTGGACTGTATCCTATGAAAATGAGGTAAACTTAAATCTGGAAAACAGGTTGCTACATTTTGGCTAGCCTGGGTGGCTTTCCGTGTCAGTCGGTTCATGTTTTAGGCATTACATTTTAGGCAAACCTCATGAATACTAAAGTGCCTTTACAATGTCAGGGAGGCCTTCCTAGCTGTAAATGAAGACAGTTGTCTTCATGAGCAAAGTGGTTTTCTTTCTAATATGATACTTTTTTGATTTTTCTTTTAGGTGGAGAGGATTGTAGACAAAAGGAAGAACAAGAAGGGCAAATGGGAATATCTCATCAGGTGGAAAGGCTACGGAAGCAATGAAGACACCTGGGAACCTGAACATCATCTACTACATTGTGAGGAATTTATTGATGAGTTCAATGGACTACATGTTACTAGAGAAAAGCGATCGAGACATGGGAAACAGGCCAGTGCTCCAAAATTTTTACGGGAAAGCCGAGGGTCATCTGTGGAGAAAATATCACATAGACCTTCTGAATCTGGGAAGTCTAAAGGGTCAGCACACAAAAGGAAGAGAATTAATTCATCTCTTCAAAAACAGAAAAGAGGATATGCAGCAAAGCCAGCATCTGCTAATGACAGGGCTGCTAAAACTGTGACTTACCGAACTACTCCCAGCGGTTTACAGATCATGCCACTGAAAAAGCCGCATAATGGTCTGCAGAATGGAGATGGCAGTCATGAAAAGGATTCTAGACATTTTGGGAATGGCTCACAACAGCAAAATACGGATTTAAATGATCACGAAGGAGAACAAAATTTGCCCAGCGTGTTGGAAGTTAGTAATGATTCACCTGTTGTGAATGGAATTGGTATGTGATTTAAACTATAGTCTTTTGAGGCGGGGGGGCGGTAATTGCAGCAACTGCAAACAGAGAGTCCACTCATGGAAAAATCGTTGTCATGCTACACTAGTGATACGGTGAGAAGCACATAAATATGTTTCACGCTCTTTCCCCATATATTATACCATTTTTTAATCAGTTGGCTTCTCTCCTTCTGTTTCCCACGGAGTGACATGAGGCAATGTGGGCTTTGTTACCTGCCTGTGCAGTGTAAAGTTCTTGTGGGGTAGTGATGACAAGGCACGCAGTAGGAATGACAACAGAGGTACGTACAATACTGCAACTTTGGGTTTGTGTATCACCAAGTAACAAAGCATTTCTCAGTTACGTGTGCACAGACCCAATGGTCTGGAAAGATCAGGATTATTTTAGAAACATAATTGATACCACTCTTGCTAAAGTATCCTGGTAAGTATGGCTGAGTAACATTCAAGTTCCTTGGTATTAATGCTCATCATATTCAGGAGTACTCAGAACTGCCATGTCCTTATCTCTGACAGTGACCAGATATATCAGAAGTCGAAAGACGTACCTTACGGGAAGGTACAAACAGCCTTGAAGTGAACGAGAAGAAACAGGAGAGAAATTTCTTTCTAATCCTTATAGTTACTGACTGGCTTAGTTCTCAAAGAATAAAGGTTTATGTTCTCTATAAATACTATGCAGCATAATGCAACTAAGTAGCTTCTCATTATCTATATGTGCCCAATTTTTTTTTTTTTTTTAAATCCTACCAAATTTAAAGCCTCAGTGGTGCTTTGTGGTGGTAATTTCCAGGAGCTAACAATGAGATGCACATTTTATTTGATCAGTTTTTTGGGTTTGGGGTTTTGTTTGGGTTTTTTTGACCTTTGCTTTCATTGAATAAGCTCTTGTCCTTATGTGAAAGGATAAAGAGGAAGACGTCCTGTCAATCTGTAGGCAGTCCCAGCCTTTTTAGCCTTCCTACCATGTGGAAGACTTTCCAGATTCCTGGTAGTTTTCGGTATCCTCTTGTGCCTTTGGTGTGTGTGGGTTTTTTTAATACCTTTTAAAAACAGCAGGAGCTGTTCCAAATGATTTCCTACTGCTTACTGATAGAGTGGCGATACAACCTTTTGAGGATTATTTTTTGTGCTGTTACACACTGCATAAAGGTTTTCATTGAGTGATACACAGTTGCTCTTAGGTTTTTTTTCTTTGCTGGTTACAGTTAATTTAGAAAACAGCTATAAGTATGATTCTTTTCATTATGCATTTAATCTGCTTTACTGTTGCCAGTTCACCCTTTTCTTATGACTCAGTGAAGCTCTTCAAATTCTTTCCTAGTTTTTACTCTACTTATTTTGTATTCCCTTGAAATTTTCCTCTCATACTTCTCTTCCCAGTTCATTAATACATACATTAAATAAACTAATCCTTCTGCAGGTCCTTGGGGCAGCCAACTACTAATCATTTGACATGATGAAAAGTAACCATTTGTTCCAATTATTTATTTTTATTAGCCACTTTCTGTAGCCCATGATAGCATTCATTTCCTTAACAGCTTCTTGTGAATTGCCCTGCCAAAAACTTTTCAAAAGTCAACATAAATGATATCACCCCACTTTTCATTTTCCACCCTACTGGCAACCTAGCAAATGCTACTTGATTTGGGAAGCAGAACTGTCCGTGCCCAGTCTTACTGGTTGCATCCTGTAACTGCTGGGATCTTTCAGTCCAGGCATCAAATGTCTTGTTAAAGACTCCCAAACCAGCAAAATGTGTGGTCAGCTTTAAATGCAGAAGTACCCCAAAGGGTGTCAATGACAGTTAAAATTGGGAGTGCAGGCTTTTGTATTTTCATGAGTTTGAGCTCATATAAGACTGTTTAAAAAGTTACTTGCTTCTTTAAAAAGACTTGCATATCTAATTACAGATGCATATAAAGTTATTTTTCTTTGCTTTCTTACTGTTTCTAATGAAGTTTTTTTTAATCATTTGTTTTATGTTATTCATTGGGGAAGTTCTGATACAAAATGCATCTTTAAAATGCATTTATTCTCATATTTTAGAGTCTTTTTTTTTTCATGAAGAACTAAAGGGCCACAAAGAACTGTACGGTCAAATGAGCCTTTCATTTGTCCCCACAAGAGCTAATGAAAGGCACCCACCAGCCCCTGTTTGAATAATCTCTGTAAGAGAGCTCTGTTTCAGTAGAAAGCTGCTTTGCCTAAGCAGCCAGGTGCTCTGCCATGAAGAGGGCTCCTGGCCTAACATATGCAGCTCCTATAAAACATTTCTTTATGACGGTTTTTGCATTCTCCAAATCCATCACTTCTGCTCTGTAATTTGCTCTCCTTTCTCCCTTGCATTCTGACCTCCCTGTAGGCAAAAGCAAGAGATCTTTAAAGCTCTCCCTGGTTCTTGTCTGAAAAACCCATACTCGGCAGCACTCCAGAAATCCCTCCAGTCTTGCTTTGTGATACCCAGCACATGCATAGTAGAGAAAACTACAAAGAGGAGAGATGAGACTACCAAAGTAAGGGCAGGCAGAAACCGGTGAAGAAGGGCCAAAATAAAAGCACTAGCTTTTTTCCTAATATTGCCCTACAAGCTTCAGAGAAGTCACATTTCCTGATACAGGATATTGCATCATTTGAAATGTCAAATTGAAGAAACTTGCACTACTCTTCAGCAACTCCAACAATTTACTGAACTCCCTCAGTATTCACACTCGCAGGGAAGTAGTGCAGAAGATGCCAGTGTGATTCTGCCGTGTGTTCTGTTAGCATCACAAACTCATGTTAAACAGGATAGACGTCCACTAAAACTGATCTGAAATTTTACAAATTTACAAATGAAGAAAGTTTCAGAGGAAAATGCCAATTTGTTGAATAACCGAAGTTTTGTTCCAAACATCTTGGGTTTCAAAACTTTCTCCAAATCTGAGCCAAGGTCCCAAGGCTTTGTCCCGTGAGACTGGGAGCAATGTGGCAGTCTGCTTGGCCGGACTCCCACGTTTAGCTTTGAGGCAGCCAGCTATGCCAGAGGTTTCAGGCAGTCTGCCACAGAGTCTGGGAGTCGAAAGCCCGGCATGCCCCATCAACGCTCGCAGGGCTCCCAGGCACTATGTGTAGAACAAAGAGGGAGCCTGGAGGACCTGGGTTTGGCTCCCAGAAGCTGTGGTTCCCGGGCAGCCCCGTGCAGAATCCCAGGAAGCAGACATTTGTGTCAGTTTTGAGATTGCCCATATGAAGTCCAAATCAATGTCAGACTCATTTCACAGCTAAGTCTAAGAGTGCACAGAAAATGTATATAGAAATTTTAAGTTGGTCTTGAGAGGAAGCCTAGATTCGGAAAACTCAAAAATTCTCCACAATTTGAAAACCCAGCTGTAGCCCAGCTCTGCTACCAGTGTTGGCCTATGGTTGAAGGCCTCCAAAACCATCGGCTTGAACCAGTATTCTTTCATATTATAATAATGTTTAACTACCAGCATATTGAGCCAAGCAATATAATCAGTAATTTATAGGCAATAACTAATCAAAAAATACCTATTTTGTTTCTCTGTGGTATGCCAGTTCTGTTGCAAGAAATAACAGCTATTTGAAAACTAGTTTTTGATGACTCCTTGAATGGACTTCCACCAGTCTGTGTTTGGTTTTGTGTATACATCCACCTGGGTACAAGTCTTTCTTGCTCAACCTACAGATAAAACTCTCACCAGTAAGCTGTTTGCCCCAGAAAGATGACTATATACCTACAGATGTATGCACAAAATCATATATGCACCCTAGCATATATATGGAACCTTGCTGAAGCTGGGACAAACCTTTCGTACCAAAACCTCTCTTCTACCTTCTACACATCCTGTCATAAGAAGAGTAGAGTCATCTTTACTGACAGTTATTTAAGGGTCCGTAAACTGGAAAATATTGAAAAACTCCACAGGAGAACAACCACTGATGCTCCCAGGAGCTAATACCATTCTTTTGATGATACTTGTTGTCTTCTGTTATCACATTTCTGTTTCTCTCCAGATAGTGTAATTGAGAGTGATTGTTTTGTCAAGTTTCTTGACAGCATCAAAAACCATCCCCTTTTAATTTTCTCTTTC